TCGTGGCCGATGATTCCATCGGTCAGGTGCTCTTTGGGTAGCTGTGCTCTGTTGTTGTAGTCGAGAATATCTTGGTTGATTTTGTCAATCTGCAATCTTGCGCCCGCTTCTTCATCCCGCACGAATGCAAGGACATATCCATAAGCCTGGGTATGCATGCTTCTATAATGTTCCCGATGCTCGCTGGACTCGGGGACTGGTGGGAGATCCACATCAACTTCCATTGCCTCTCCATCGTCAAGGTCGTCCGAGGTCCTTGCGGCCAGCTTGCGCCTGCGCTCGGCCTTTTTCATGCGCTTTCTTTTTATGCTGTCATCAACTTTCAAGTTAGCACTCTTATGAGAAGCCTGCGATGCTTGAGTCATCGGTGCTACAGGTTGGCTAATGGTCTCATCCGACTTGCTGGGTCCTGACGATGGTTCGGGCGCCTGAGACGTGGCTAGCTGCTGGCGTGGCTTTGTCTCACTATCAGTGACGAAAAGAGGACTGTCAGACTCAGCACCGCGCGCCCTGAGTTGGTCATTGTGCGTGTCAAGTGGAGGCTGCAGAGCCTGCAGCGGCGGCGGCGCTGTGCTCGTTGAGATATTGCTTTGCTCTTCGCTGGGTCTTGACGCTGGTTCTGGTGTTAGAGACGGGGTCCGCTGCTGACGTGGCTCGATGTTCTTATCAGGGATGAGGAGATCGCTGCCAGACTCAGCAGCCTGCGCCTTGGGTTTGTGTTCTTGAGTATCAAGTGGAGGCTGCGAGGCCTGCAGCAGCGTTGAAGCCGTGTCGGTGGAATGCTCCTTGCTGGTGTTCATACTGGTGCTCATGACTGCTGTGATGTGTTGAGCGTCCAGTGCCTTCGCCAAAGACCTTTTATATTCTCTGGACGGTGGGCACTAAAGAGGTCCTGTGCAAGTTTATCGTTCGAGGGCCCATAATAGAGACATACCGGTCCCGCCCTGCCGCTAAATGGGACCAGATAGCGATATAACTCTAGAATAGAGACTGGGGACTTCTTTAACTATAAATATATATACTTCTATATATACTCTTACTCTATACATAGAGCATCTATGCAGGCCTGGTAGTGGTCAAAAACAAATGGATTATAAGGCCCAAGCGGCTGCCGTGCAAGAGAAACTGGCTTGCCTCCCAGCATCTATCAGCAACCCCAGCTCCTCAGCGGCTTGCTCTGAAGTACTGCTATATTGAGGAGATGCTTAGCACAGCTGGTGTTTAGATAGGGATTATATGGTGTATCTTGGAGTAATCGCTACTACCCTCTGCCGGAGCGTCTCATCAATGGAATACCCATCTGCGGCATGTGTAAAGAAGCGTAGAGCTCAATGGTCGGCGTGGCTATGTGTAAAGGCGATGTGGAGGAAGTCCTCTAAAGTTCGAGGTTGGTGACGAGCACAGTGGCGTATATCGTACAATATGGCTGAATCTGTTGATTCGTATGAAGCGCGAGACTATCCATAATGATTGTCCTCGCACGCCCGGGGTTTTACCTCAAGGGCAGGCAGTAGGTATGGTCGGAGTCTGTCCTTTCGGTGCTCTTGCTCGACGCCTCCATCCATCATCCAAGAACACGTAAGAGTCTGCTGGTATGGAGTGGGTGCTGTCTCTGAGCGCGCACTACTAATACGTTTCAATAGCTTACGATCCCAGCCTCGCTCAGACAACTCTTTAGATAGAAGCTGTTTGGATACAGTGAGGTTGGACTCTTCGTATACCCATCTAGCCATCTCATCAAGTTATAGTAGAGTTATTTTTTACTCTACAGGCTGTGCCTCCTCTAGTCTAAGCTGTTGTATTCTTCGCCTAATAGTCTTTTTTATAAAAAAGTCCAGGTGCTTTCAGATGTACAATTTACAACGCCGTTGGAACTAGTTACTACAGTAGAATCCCTTTCTCCATCGACAGCTGTTTGTATAAGGGCTAAGTTTGACGAGAAAAGCGTCTCTTAGTAGTATTTCCCACGACGGCAAACTAAATAGATGACGCTGCGTCCCTGTCGTCTTGTCCCTATCCCATGTGTTTCTAGTTCGTCAAGTCTCATGCTTCATGGTCTTCTAAGACTAACATGACTCTGCTCAAGGCTTTCAGTAGCTTTTACTGGCTCTTCCGGCCCGCCTTCCGGAATTTTTGGTAAAACTTGGCGGGGGCGATTTCGTCCGTTTCGAGGACGCAGGGTAGGTCCCACCCTCTGCAACCCCGCAGTTGATGTAGGCGACGATTGAGTCTCGGAAGCCTGTGCAAGATAGTCCGGGTCGATCGTGAGATGGAGCGTTTCTATCTCCCTAAGCAAACTCTCATTGTTCCTGGCGAGCGCAGCATTGGCCTCGCGAAGCTGTGCTACTTGAGAAACTAATTCACCCGTGGCATCGCGAAGCTGGCTGTAAAAGTGTTGCAAAGTTGTACGAACCGAAAGACATCTCTCTTGAATATCGCGATCGATATGAATGAATGCATTAGGGAGCTGCACTGTTATCAGTTCCATAGCGTTCTTCACAATCTTTAGCTTACCATGTCTGTCACCTCTGATTCTGGCAGCATGGTTTGTAGAGCTACTGGTAGACAGTCCCGGCTGGATAAGTCTAGATATTGGAAAGAGTTTGGTATCGTGATTCTCATCATGCGTTCTTTGTGCTTGATTTCTATACGTCCTCGACTCATCCGCCTTTTCCAGCGGTTCTATCGTCTGACTCTACGTCGCAGTGTGCCAAGTAATCGTACTCACCTCCTCCTTGCTTGAAAGGTCTACAGGATTATGCGTGGTGCCAAAGATAAATTTTGCATAAACTCCCTGCGCCCTCCTAAGGGCGTTGACTTTCAGCTAGTCTCCGACAATCCAATACTAGCTAACGATTCATTAATGAGGCGGGAAAACCCCCTGCGTCAGGAATCCCCGCAGCTTAGACTCGTTGCTGTGCAAGTACTATCAGATAGTAGGGACCTATTGGGAAACAGCTGAACGCATTCCTTGAAGCCAATGATCTATGTTATACTTGTCTGACTAGGCATGGCCATGTTCACGCGGTCTGTTCAACGTCGTCTGGGCTGTGCCGATGATGTGTTGCCAAAAACAGGAGGCATGTCGAAAGCTGTCCGCTGTGCATGCAATATGGCGTGGCACTAGATTCTATATTTAGTAGGCCAGCCCTGGTTTCCAGTTCATGGATGGCAAGTGCCGTGAGGGCTTCGTTTCGGGATCAAGAAAGCGGGCACTCCCCCAGATTCACCAGCAGATGATTAGTCTGCCTTTCCGGTCATCCACAGTTTCTAGATACAGATTTACAGCATCAATACAGCAGAGAAGTGTGAGTCGCGCAGAATCACCCATACGACAGTGCTTAAGTGGTTCTCTAGGATGTCGATAAGAGAGCACCCCGACGAGGCCATTACTCGAGCCAGCGTAGAGCTTTCCAAAGCAAGCCTATGTATTCAAAATTGTTGTACATCAATTCTCCAGTTGCTCACCATTCGAAAAGAAGAGAAAAGAAGTCGAATGCAAGTAGACCGAGAGAACCGACGCCGGATGTTTTGGGCTGGATTACTCATGCAAGCCCTTGCCGTGTTGCCTGGCGATACTGATCTAGACATGAAGAATCTTTCCGATATCGAGGACGTTGTCTCTATGTGTGCTAGCCTTGTCGCAATCGACGCGGAAAGCGGCATCGTTCGTCTTATACATTACACAACACAAGAGTATTTTTCGTGGATGCGAGAACGATGGCTACCTGGCGCGCGAGTGGACATAGCCACAACCTGTACAACGTATCGGATCTGTCTTTTCCAAGCTTTAGAAGTGGCAGCAGCGCGGACGACGCGCGCTTCGAAGCCAGGCAGAACAGATACTTGTTTCTGGACTATGCCGCGAAACACTGTGGGAGCCATGTTGCAGAAGTTGAAGAAAAGATTACCGACAAAGTATGTGATTTCCTGCAGAGCTCAGCCGCTGTACGGTCTGCTGCTCAAGTTCTATGGATCCCAAGCTTTCGCATTCGTGGCCACAGCCAGGAATACCCACGAGAAACCTCTGCATTGCATCTGATAGCACAGTTCGGACTCCTCACCATAGCCACAAGACTA